GCAACACAATATTGTCATGTGATAGATATTTTTGCCAAGTTTTTTCAAAATCCCAGAATGCATGATAAATTTACAGCCTGGACATGATTGTTGTGTTAGTGGTGACGCACGGACGGACAGACGGACATGAGCCGCCTTAGCCGCGACACATCTTCTTGATGTTGTATACATTTGTGCCAAGTTATTTTAAAATCCTTCCATGCATGACAAAGTTACAGTCTGGACATGAATGTGTATCTTTAAATTCTTCTCGAGAGAATGAGAATGAGTACCTTCAAACTATAACTGTCACATTGACCTTGGAGGAAGGGACATGGGTCTAAGACGCGATATTATAGCGTGTATCGAGCGGTTAATTAGTATTCTATAGCTACAAAATAAAATCACAATATTCTCAAAATACAAATATATAATTTTTCTTGAGATTCTTATCCGAATTGATTAGAATATTCAAATATAAATTTTCTTGTCGTTTATTAGAAATCAACTTAATAAAAACTCTAGAAATAATAAAATGCAGAAATAACAATCGTCAACAAATTCTTAAATTATTCAAAATAAAAAGAAGCAATTAAACTCAATTCACACTTACTTTCAATTAAACTAAAATTTATATTCTTAAACCTATCTCTTATTTCTTACTTTAATATTTCAAATCAACAATCTCTTATCATAAAACGTTCAAAACCCAATTCTTTAAATAATGTCTTCAAATAAACTATTCTCTATCAAACGTTTGTCCAAGAGGTTTTACTTAGGCAATAAAGTATTTTTAGCACCAGATATCTAAGATACCTGGATACTAGTAAATACAATATCACCTATATCCAACTTTTACAAGGAGAACAGGCATACTAACTATTTAAATCATAAAATAATTCCCGAAAATGCAAAGATATTTTTAGCACCAGTCTCTTCGGAGGCGTGGGTTCGAATCCCACCGCTGCCACCAATTTTGTAGCGTGTATCGAGCGGTTGATTAGTATTCTATAGCTACAAAATAAAATCACAATATTGTCAAAATACAAATATATAATTTTTCTTGGGATTCTTATCCGAATTGATTAGAATATTCAAATATAATTTTTTTCTTGTGGTTTCTTAACCTTTTGATTAGATATCCACTTAATAAAAACTCTAGAAATAACAAAATGCAGAAATAACAATCTTCAACTAATTCTTAAATTATTCAAAATATAAATTTCAAGAAGCAATTAAAGTCTATTCACACTTACTTTCAAACAAACTAAAATTTATATTCTTAAACCTATCTCTTATTTCTTACTTTAATATTTCAAATCAACAATCTCTTATCATAAAACGTTCAAAACCCAATTCTTTAAATAATGTCTTCAAATAAAGTATTATCTATCAAACATTTGTCCAAGACGTTTTACTTAGGCAATTAAGTATTTTAGCACCAGATATCTAAGATACCTGGGTACTAGTTAATACAATATCACTTATATCCAACTCTTACAAGGAAAACAGGCAGACTAACTATTTAAATCATAAAATAATTCCTGAAGATGCAAAGATATTTTTAGCACCAGTATCTAAGATGCCTGGGTACTAGTAAATATAATTACAACTTGGATCTTAACGGTCCGGAGCCAAACCAAAACTTAATAAAAATATCTATTTCTTAAAATATTTATGCCCAAGGAATTTTACAGAAATCATAAAACGTCCTTAGTACCAGAAATCTAAGATTTCTGTGTACCAGTAAGGTTTTATGACCTCGTTTCCACTCTCCAACGGACAGGACCAGACTGAATTTTAACACTGAACACGCTCTATTTGTAATGCTTGTGAAGCATCCTCTCCGCAGTGAATAAAAACAATGATTTTGATTGGCTAAAATAATAAAACGTCTCTTGAAACTGACTTTAACTAAACTTTATGAGCGTCTGTTATTTTAAGTAATTTTCCATACAAATTATTGTAAGTAAACAAGCAATTCAAAATATAAACACATTGGATGATTTTGCTGACTTATATCTATTTGGCGATAAAAACAACTAAAATGCCTACTCTTCCTATCTAATTAAATTTACGGATGAATTGTTATATTTTTTTCTGATGCAAATGGCGAACTTATAACAAGGGGAGGCAATCAATTTAAAATCTTTTAATGCATGACAAAGTTACAGTCCGGACCTATATACTCTTATTGTGATAAAAATACCTTCAAAAATAGTAGTGTCACCTTGACCTATAAGGTAGGGATGTGTTTCTTGGACGCGACACATCGTCTTGATGTGGTAGACATTAATGCTAAGTAATTCTTAAATCCTTCGATGCATGTTAAAGTTACAGTCCGGAAACAAATGTCTGTACCAATAAACTTTTATTGTGATAAAGTAAAACTTCAAAATGTTAGTGTGACCTTGACCTTTGAGGTAGGGACGTAATTCTTAGACGCGACACATTGTCTGGATGTTGTAGACATTTATACCTAGTTATTTTGAAATCCTTCAATGCATGATAAAAGTACAGTTGGGACACGAATGTGTGTACCTATTAACTCTAAATGTGATAATGTGAAGCTTAAAAATGTTACTGTATCCTTGACCCATGGCTTAGGGACGTGGTTCCTCGTCTTGATGAGGAAGACATTTGTTCTAAGCTATTTCAAAACCCCGCAATATATCATAAATATACAGTCCGAACACGATATGAAATTGGGACGCACGGACAGACAGACGGACGATGCGCTTTAAATATGCCGCCCTACGGGGGCATATACCGTATCAATGCAAAACTAACTAGAAGGTTTCTTTTGGTCACAAGTCATATGTTTCCCACGCATGTTAATCCCACCAGCGGTTTGACGTGTGAAAGCCAGTCAATATACATTTCTTCTGTTTAAGCTCTTGTGGCCATTTTGTGCAGTAATGCACAACGTGTAGTTGATATGATACTGATCACTCCTGTGAAAATCCCTCGATTTTCTCCAAGCAGTTTGACGTGTAAATGGTGGACAAGCTTTTTCTATTTTAGTTATAGGGCAATTATTGTGCAGCGAAGCTGAACGCGCAGCGATATGCACAACTAAAGTTTGTATCAATAACTTTTGTGAAATTCCTCCGAAATATTTCCAGCAGTTTAACCTGTGAAAAAAAGGACAAACTTTTTCTTTTTGCGACGGACGCGCCCTCGGGTGCGTTTAGAGCTTTGTCATCTTCACATGAAATTTCGACGTCTGCAATCGAAAAGAGTGGCTCCAACCGAATATCATCTAACAAATAGTGCAAGATTTAATCATATAAAGCACACACATAATGTCGAAATATGTTGAAAGCGTTTATGTTCCAGTTTAATTGCAAACACCGTTAGTTATCTGAGTGATAAATGAACAAATGATTATCATATATACGAGAAAACATCGTAATAATTGCACTACTTTGCCCCATCCGAAGTACAGCCAAAATGGTTTTTATGAATAAAAGTCGTAAGCAAAAAGTAGAAAGACAAATAATATATATAAAATCGGAGTAATATTTTTTAATATAGAGCACAAATGCCAGAAAAAACAACAAGAAAGTAAATTTTATGGCATAAATCGAGAGCAAAGAAAAAAACAATGAAAAAGAACAATGTATCCAGGCAGTAAGATAAAACAGTCGTAGTACATGATCATGAGATTTGAATTTAAAGACATGTTCACGGGTGGCACACTTTATTCAGCGATCTATTATTAAGTCATACTGTACGTACCAAACTATTTACTATAAAAAGACGACCCATACCAGTTATTAAAATTATTAAAATCGAGAATTGTTTATTTCTTTGATAATAATATTTATTATTTTAAACCTTTTGTGTTATTATTCTAAAAAAATTATCTGCAAAAAAAAAACAAAAAACAAAAACCAGAATTATATGTTTATTTGTTTTAAACAGGAAGGAGGCCTGTTTCAAAATCCCCGAAAAATATGCTTTTAAGACATTCCAGTTTTTTGGAAAAACAAAGCATTTTCACAATTGTTATAACATTAGAATGCGGAATTCTTTTTTGAAAAAAGGTATATGATTAAAGTTGTTTGGAGTGTATATAAGTTGTAACTGTGACTATCACGGCACTTCTCAAAACTGTGTGATTATGACGCGACACCGGCACGAGATCTCAAGATACGTCATGAAGGCCAATCTGTTTCTAATTTCTTTGTTTGTTTGTCTGTTTGTTTGGGTTTATTCAAATCTTAAAAAGGGTAAGTACATGGTTTTAAAACAAGAAAAAAACTTAGAATAAAGGTTCATTTTCTTAAAAAAGTGGGAAGGAATCATATGTCAAATTGTTTGAAAGTATTGCTTTTCTTACACATAAGCCATCAGAATATTTTACAAAATTTTAAGGGGCTCCGGTCTCAGATAGAAATTCAGATGCAATAAGATTGATGTTTAGGAATTAGAATTTCACCACTCAAATTTCTTGAACACCAATTTCTTTTATGAAGATGGAATGACATTGCGTTTTCCTTGTGCAAGTGCCCATCACAATGCTCACTCGTCTGTTTTAAATATCATTGTTGCCACACTTAATCTTAGTTTTTTACATATCGCGTATATTGCATTTTATCTTAAGTGTCCTTGACCATTATCCTAGTTTCAATCTGTTGGTATCTAGGTTATTAAACCAACGTTCATTGAGTGTCTTCTCACTGGGCTTTAAGTACCTTAGAAGTCTGATATTAAAGCAGTGCATATGAATGTATGTTTAATGTAAAATGCATACGAGTGTTGGTCTAGATACGAAGATGGACACGATGGCGACGATAAATTTTCATTTACTAGTAGCAATTATGTCTTTACATTTTGCCTTTAAACACATTTTACATGTACAATAACGGTGCAGGTTCCTGTAATTTGATTATAATACATTTTTCTTCAATATTAATTTGCCCTTCATTCACGTTCTTATATGTAACAACTGGCATTTGATGTCTTAGAATTATCATTTTCTAATTAAATTTTTGTAGAAAAAAAACAATACTTACTTTCCGATGCAATAAAAGTATATCGGTTGCAACACTGCATGTTCAATCGGCTTTCGATATCCATCAGTGTAAAGTCAAACAATACTTTAAATTCTTTAGATCCTTCGATTGTTGTATACTTATTTAATACCAGCCGGGCGACATCTGTCAAAAAAGTTTACATAATTTCATTTCCTTCCAGTATAATGTACAAGTCAGTTCACTAAAAAAAAAGTTATCTAAAAAAAAAGATCTTACTTTTGCAATATGATTAAAATCCCCTAAAAATTTAACCGAAATGCAAAATGAATTCCATTCTAAAGGTTATGCAAGTTAAATTAAAAAATATCCTTTTTTTCAATTAATTTCTTCCATTTTGAGAATCGATTCACGAGATTATTACTTTTACTTAAATGCAATAGAGATCAGGATATATACTGTTCTTCATAAAAAATTATTGCACAATATTGCCAACACTAAAATGCAAGAATCAACAAGAATAACGAAAATAGCAAATTTGTATCCTGATCATAAGACAAACTGACACTGAAAATGTGACAGCTTCTTAATTGATTATGAGACCAGTTGCCATGTCGTGCATTTTTTTTCAAGCACAAGCGATCACATGAGTACAACCATCGACCTTTGTAGCATCCTCACATGAATGAGTCCGTGACTGCAAATCGTAATATGATTTTTGTTTGATTTTTTTTATATTTTATTTATATCTTTTCTCTTTTTTTATTAAAAAAGGTGAGGCAAACATTTGCTGCTTAAAGATTGTTGATTTATTGAAAGGTATTCATTTTAATGTATAGTATATAGCCTCTGAATATTTCATTACCGATGTAGTTTATTGCAATACAATGATAGTTGGCATTATATTTGTTTAAGATTAATTGTGTACACTACTATTAGCTTAAATACGTAAGTGTACTGGTTTCCTAGCAGTTTTCGGCCACAAATCGCACTTTCAACATTTTACCAAGTTTTAGGGCAAAAATACGGAATCTGAATCAATTTCTCTTAATTAATTATATTTTGTGTTTGAAGAACATTAATAAATTTTTAATAACTATGTGATTTCTACATAGTCATAGAAGATTTAAAGTAGGTCTGGACAATTAACTTAACAGGTGTAATTTGTTGAATTATGAGAAAAATGACCGCTTAATGAAAATAATTTTTTAAAATATTTTAAACTCAAATCGGGCATTGGCGCCAAAGAATCGTACCAAGATAAAAAAAAATCAATTTAATTTTGAGAAAATTACCTTAATATATTTTGAATATCTTTTAGTTTTACGTTGTCCAGTTTTATGTAACAAATTCAAATTGTTAGGTTTTTATGCCTTTGGACCTCAGTGAATTTCCTTTAAGTGTCTAAGACTTATAATAATTTTATAGAAATTTCAAAATACTTGTAAATTGAAATTAATATTCTTAAAAGACTTAATAAAAAAGTGATAGTTGTCAAGTTTCATACATGTTCTTGTATGTGTTTAGAAATATTTTAAAAAAATGATTAAATGTCATGTATAAGGGGTGAAATATTTGTTTCTAACAACAAACTCTATCTAGAAAAATATAGATTTCTTTTGAATATGTAATAATAAGTTTGCTGTTGCTTGCTGTACTTTGTTTAACAATGCTAATGATATAAGTTCTGAGGATGACAATGCCGGCGATATTATAGTATGTGGTGCCAATGCTGGTGATATCATATTACATGGGGACAATACTGGTGATATTATATTAAGTGGGGACAGTGTCGGTGATATTATAGTATGTGGTGACAATGCTGGTGATATTATATTACATGGGGACTATACTGGTGATATTATATTAAGTGTGGACAGTGTCGGTGATATTATAGTACGTGGTGACAATGATGGTGATATTATATTACATGGGGACTATACTGGTGATATTATATTAAGTGGGGACAGTGTCGGTGATATTATAGTACGTGGTGATAATGATGGTGATATTATATTACATGGGGACTATACTGGTGATATTATATTAAGTGGGGACAGTGTCGGTGATATTATAGTTAGTGGTTACAATGCTGTTGACTTGAGGGTTAATGGGGACAATACTGGTGACATAATAATTTATACAATGCTGTTGTCGTTAGAGCTAGTGGTGAAAATACTGGGTATATGCGAGTTTTTGGGACAATGCTGGTAATATAAAAGTTAGTGGGGACAATGCTGGTGATAATATTGTTAGTTTGGACAATGCTGGTAATATAAGGGACGCTGCTTGTGATAATTATCATAGTTAGTGGGCACAATGCTGTTGGTATCAATGTAAGCGGGGACAATGCTGGTTATATCACAATTAGTGAGGAAAATGCTGGTAATGCTTCTGCTATTAAAGTTTGTGGGGACAACGCTGGTAATATGAAGCTTAAGGTTAATGGGCACAATGTTTGTGATACAGATGGAAATATGAACATTCAGTTGTGTGTCGATACTACCACCAACCAATCCACAATACCAATTGTGAAGCAGACACCAACTTGCTAGAACTGAGGACAAATAACAAACAAAACACAAATGTTCTAGTTGATAAAAGTAAAAAAAATATTTTTTATCTAAACCTCTTTGTTTCTTTTAAATAATTTTGAACATGCTGAAATGAAAATTTATTTTGAATTTCATTTAATTTCTTGATGCCAAAAAGTTCCTTTTGCGTACTAAGCGGGTGGAATTATTTTGTATTTGTAAATAGTTTCTTTCTTTGTAAAACTACCTTTGACATTGAAAAAAGAAATGTTCGGCAACGTCTATTTAAGAACCACAATCGCATGCCGTATTAATGATGAGATGATTTGTAAATAGGTCAGAATTCAAATTGCTACATTTATTTCTAATAGGATAGACAGCAGATACAGGATTACATTCGATATAATGCTTTAAGCTTATTTTTGAATGTCTGTGTAAAGATAAAGTTCCTGATTCTCTTCGATAGAAATTCATTCCAAAGTGTTATAGAGAATGGTATGACACACTTATATATTAAATGTCTGTTCTTCTCGCTATTGAAGCAAAATTAGCATTATTTCACAGCGAGTATAGATGAAAGGAAACATTTTCGAGGGTTGGTGAAAATAATTGTGATAAGTATAACGGTAAAAGGTTATGTTTTTCATTATATATCAAAACAAGTTTTTGAATTTTTCTCCTGTCGTCAAATGATAGCCATCTTATTTCATTTAAATGATTTTGAATTGAAACAGATCAAGTTAGACCTGTTACAACCCTTGCTGCTTCATATTATAGTTTTTTCTAAAGTTTCTTTCCCATATTGTGTTATGCCTATATGCCACAAGTTGACTTAGCTGATTCCATACATGACAGCTCACTTTCAAATAATAGTCAAAACAATTTTTCTTTTCTTTTTGAATACCTCTTTTGACAATAGATACAGTAAAGTGATTATGTATTTTGTCTGGATAAGCATTTTGCAGGCTCATATACCATTATTATAAATAACCCTTTCTGTAGAAGGATCAAAATATTTGTTTGAGCAACATAATGTGCCTTTAATGCTTCCCTTGAATCAACATTTTAACGCTTTTATATGCTTAAAAAGTTTAATGTGTAAGATGAATTATTGTACTGTTTTTATTTTAACGTTGCTATATCATATTATATGCTGACTACGTAAAGGTTAAAGTTTATTAGTACGTATGTTTTACAAAATTAAATTGGTCAGGCGCGGCGAAGCTGCGCGACAACTTTAATTTTGTAAATACTTACTTATAAATTTTAACCAGCTTAGTGTTTTAAATTATTTTTATAAACAGTCGATTTAAAAGAAAGTAAATGTGTATCGATTCAATTGAAATTCTGCAATCCTATTTGAGAAAATGTAATTTCAAACACTAACGTATTTTAATGCCATACGAAAATTACGCGTAAAATTTTGTAGTTTAAGAAGTCACCAAAGAACTAGTCATAATAAGGCACTTAAGTAGGCTTAAATTAGTTTCCTCTCGATGTAAATAACATAAATCCTCTTGGAAAATTTCTACCATGCATTTATAACCTATGACATTATGTTAAAGCATTGCATTGCTATGAGATACATTTTTTTTTTCGAAGACTTTGCAAATTCATCTTAATTCAAAATATCTTCTCAAGTTTATTTTCTTGAAATATATGGTATGGGACCAAATGGTTATGTTATGCGGTATCCCAAATATCAAAAGGCTGTGATAAGTAGATGCTAAAAAAACTGTTACGAATGTCCTACCATTCACCATTAATGTGGACACTTTAACTAAGTCGGTAAACAGGAAGTGGATAAGCGACATGCCTGAAATTGAATGCCATGGTATTGGACTACGTGTTAATGCTGTTTGCCAAATATATCAAGAGGCTCTAATAAGTAGTTGCTGAGAAAACTGTTACGAAAATTTACTACCATTCACCATTAATGTCGAAATTTAAGTAAGTCGGTAAACAGGAAATGGATGAGTGACAGACCTGAAATCCAGTGCCATGTGTTAATGCTGTACACCAAATATTAATACGCTGTGATAAGTAATCGCTGAGAAAACTGTTTCGAAAACCCCCCACCGCCCAATATTCACAATATGTAACCCGGGTTTGCGCCTGTCCAACCCTGCCAAAATGAACGGCCGCAGGATGATGTTTGTTTTACCTTTAAAAAGTAAATATTAACTTACTTGTTAATGTTTACCAATTTAACAAACATTTATTAAATTATTTCCAGCATACAAAAGACCACGTCGGTTAGAACCCAAGCAACATTCTAAAGGATCGTGGCCATGGAATAATGCCAATGTGGAAAACATGTATGAACCTTTGAGTTCTTAGTTTATCTGTTTCATAGTTACGTGTATAATATGCCTGAGAAGGAAATTATGTTTATGCAACAGATAGTCGTAAGATACAATTTTCTATGGATGAATACATGTATATATAACTAATATTTCATTTTTTTTCAACACTTATTATGTAAAGTTGGAAAAGTTTCAATTTCTTAAAAAGTTATCTAAGGAAATATATTTTTGCGATGGCAAGACAATGGACTGCAAGTCAGAAGGAAAATGTTTTTGCCATAGCAACCAAATGTTTTTACATAGGAAAACAAATTATTGTCAGTTCCTTTTGGTTATCGCAAGATCAGGTTTTGTAGACCGAGGGTCGGTCTGATAGATGGATGGACGGGCGGATAGGTAACCTTAAGTCCCATCCGGTTAAACTATAAAGAACATCCGCTACTGCAAACCAGCACATTCTGCTCAATTCAGAGCGCACTATAATTACTCACTCATTACACATTAATATAACCTCCCTGGTATCTTGTGCTAGTGGCATTACTGCGTCAATATCATTTTAACAGTTTATTAGTTCACATAAATCTTATTGCAATAAGTAGTATTTAACTTCTTTGATCGTCGCTTACAACTGACTACGTATTAATCAAATGTTAACATACCCGGCATGTTTCTTATAAGTTTTCTAAACGGTGTATCAATAAATCCAATCCCGGATTGTTGGTCAACCCACGATTTGGAAATCATCATGTTTTCCCAATCGACTGTATCAATACTTAACATCTTTATTACCGTTTCTCTAAGGAGGAAAGAAAACAGATACATTTAGATAAGTATCTGAAATGTGTGTAATGAGTTTGTATCCAAATATCAATGGCACTAAAGTTAATACTAGTCTTTTAGAAATAAATGAAACATACAAGCATACTTTTATGCATGCGTATTATTAAAGATCCTGTAACACAATCTTTTATGGTTTTATATCATAAATATAATGCTCAAATGAAAATGTATCAAGATTTTTTTTAAAAAGTCTAAGTAAGAAATGAATGCATATATCTTAAAAATTACATATAATGTGAACATTTTACATATTCTTCAATGTTTGAAACTTATTTTATAAGCATAATTATATACATTTATCAATGTTCACTTAAGTGTGGTTACAACCTTAAATACAACATACAGGATCTTTAACAGATGAGATCCGATACAACCAAGCTTTAAAATTACACTTGAGAATTTGATTCGTAGCGTATGTTTTAACAACAAGAACCGGTTGAACCGGGTGATGCTCCCCGAGAAGGTTTTGGACACAGAAAAGTATAACAAATGAACAAAGGACAATAACTCTAAAAAGGCAATACTTTGTTATTGTTTTTTTTACAATGCACTTTTTCTAAATGAGATCTATCTATCAAGAAAGTTTCATATTGATATCTCTTATACTTTTAGAGTTATGTCCCGGACAAAGTTCTAAGTGTTAAAAGAAACAAAGGGCAATAGTTCAAGTATAAGGCAAGGCAGAGTTACGGTTCTTATGCACTTTTCACCTACCCAATAAGATCTATCTACCTACAAAGTTTCATGTTGGTACCTCATATAGTTTAAGAGTAATGTTCCGGACAATGTGTAAAAATAAACAAAGGGCAATAATTCAAAAATTAAGCAAAGCAGAGTTACGGTTCTTGTGCACTGCACACCTACCCACTGAGATTTCTCTACCTACAAAGTTTCATGTTGATACCTCTTGTTGTTCCGGACAAGAAACGCGAACGGGCGGACAAAGCAGCGACTATATGCTCACCCTTTAGGGAGCAAAACAATAATGGAGATAGAGGACGTTGAATGTGTGTAGATTCGATACTGAATTTCTTGAAGGAGTAAATTAAAATGACATAAAACTAGCTTCTTGCCAGCATCATACTATCTTATCAAACAAGTTCAAGACATTTATTAATGAGCCTCCATAAAATATTGTATTCCGTTTATCACATTCTTTAACAAGCTGAAACGGTGCAATATACGCCCGATTTGCAAATTTTAAATAAAATATTACAGACAAAAATATTCCTTTAAGGTAGATACACATGTAAATATGACATATAAAGGGACATAACTTTATAAATAGCAGAGTGATTGCATGGCGAATGTTTATTGACATGCTAAATATTAATAAGCGAGGTTCTACATAAATGCCTGTGAGAGAATGGTGAAACAATGCAACTATCCATTCAACAGCTGATAAGGGCCGAACAAAATGCTACATAGAGGCACATCTCAATTTGCACAATTGTGACAATTAAAGTGAAAGGTGAAGCGACATTACACAGAAATTATAACTTTTATATTGTGACAGAACATGTACGCTTTATTCAATATTAAAATGAAAACTAAACAGATATTGTGTCAGAAATCTGATGGTGTTATTGCTTTTAGTTTCCACTCCGGATCAAACAGTTAGACACATTGAATTTACCAGAGCACTGTTCAGCAATTTCATCGTTCCTGGGCAGGCTGTCAAACAGTTTACTAGTACTAAATGCCTTCATTTTCTAAATGGACTGATAACTGCTGTACATACCAGAGCAGATCGAGGTACAGAACAAATGACCGTAGAAATAATTGCATGATCAATATCAAACTAATATGCACTCTCCGTGGATCGAACCAGGAATCTAAAAACACGAATCTTATTTATATATTGACCGTAATTGTTTTTCACAATGCCGTTAACAAAAAAAAAACGAAAAAATAACTTCAATAAAAATGAAATTAAATAAAAAACAATTTAGCATACAAACTCACCTTTTGTTAGTAAGGTGCATGAATCAAATGTAATTTTTCTTTAGGCATAATTTTAATCACAGGAGACAATTCTTGACCTACTACTGACCCTGAAGAAAGATTAATAGTATAATGCAAAGGTCTGAAGGTTCTTTACACAAACGATGATTTGCTTTTATTGTTACCTTCCTTAACAATATTGCATTTGTGAAACAACACTTAATATACCAGAAAAAGATTTTTTCAATGCAATTGAACTTTGCCATAGTGCATGCCTAGTAAGTTTTGGGTCAGGGTCTTACTTTAGCAAGTCAAATGAAAGACAAAATGCAAATATCTTTACTTTTCAGATACAAAGCACCTAGTGCAATAATTGATTCAATATACAAGGGCCATTAGTGAGGACAGTTAAGACCAAACAAGAGGGCCATGATGGCCCTGGAATCGCTCACCTGTAGAAGAATATGTTTGAAGTTTTTACTATATACATATAAGGAAAACCAATGACCCCAACCTCCAAGGGGCCAATTTTTACCCCAGGGCTTTTATTTATACAAACTTGGTAGACACTCACTAGAAGATATTTCATGCATAATATCTAAAATTTAGGTCTTCGGTTTTTTATAAGAATACTTTTTAAGTTTTTACTTTAACCATATAAGGGAAATCAATGACCCCAGGGTGGGGCCAATTTAACCCAAGGGCCCTTATTTGAACATTTGGTAGACACATATTAGAAAATGTTTCATGCTAAATATCTGAGTTCTAGCTCTTTGTGTTTTTTTAAAAGAAGATTTTCAAGTTTTTACTATATAAATAAAGGGAAAAACAATGATCCCCCCAACTGAGAAAGGTCAATTTCGACCCCAAGGCTTTTACTTGAACAAACATGGTAGACACTCACTAGAAGATATTTCATGTTTAGTATTTAAACTCTAGCTCTTTGGATTTTAATAAGCAGATTTTTAAGTTTTTACTATACAATATATAAGGAAAATCAATGATCCCCGGGGCGTGGCCAATTTTAACCCAAGGGCCCTTATTTAAGCAAACTTGGTAGACACCCATAATGAGATGTTTCATGCTAAATATCTTAGCTCTAGCTCTTTGTGGTATTTAACAAAATATATTTTTAAGTGTTTTCTACATGCATAAAGGGAAAAACAATGACCCACTGGGACGGGGTCAATTTTTACCCCAGGGATTTTATTTGAACAATCTTGATAGACACCCTCTAGAAGATGTTTCATGCCTAATATATAAACTCTTGCTATTTTTTTTTAAAGATTTTTTAAGTTTTAACTATATACAAATAAGGGAAATCCAAGTTTGACCCCAGGGCATTGTTTTGAACACATTTGGTAGACACTGACTAGTGGATGTTTCATGTCAAATATTTTAGCTCTAGCTGTTTGGGTTTACTAAAAGAAGATATTTTTAGTTTTTTCTTTCGGTTGCCATGGCAACTAGAGTTCTACTTGGAATTTTATTCTTTGAACAATTTTTAAAGATAACAACCAAAGAAACATTCCTGTAAAATTTGCTGAGTGGTTTATGAGGAGATGTCGTTTAAAGTAAAAGTTTACGGACGGATTGACGCCGGACAAAAAGCGATCAAAAACACTCATCATGTCACTTTGTGACAGGTGTGCTTAAATCATTAACATGGCAAAACACATTTGTTATTAAGGTCCATACCTCGGCTTAAAATCCTTCAACCGGAAAGCACTTGTAATTTGTGCAAATACTTAAGCTACCGATCAATCCTGTAAACGTTCATTAAAATTACATTAGTGGTATAAGAGTAGTCCAGACAAACTCTAAAAATCAAAAACATGAAAGGGATATTACTCTGACAACTATCATTAAATCGAAAATGTTGATTAGATTCATAACATTACATAGTATTGATCAATCTGTAAAGTGTTGATGAAAATGAACCAGTAGTTTCTGAATACCAAGTAGCTGGCATTTTTATTGAAGAGCCATAACTCAATTCTGTAAAGTTTCAATGAAATTGCATTCAATTTAGTGGTATAAGAGGAGTATTCCGGACAAACTTTTTATACAAGGGCCAAAATCATTCAAGCAGAAAACCCTTGTAATATGCGCAAGTTCTTAAACTACCAATCAATCCTGCAAAGTTTCAATGAAATGGCATGAAAAGTATAAGAGGAGAAGTCCAAACAATCTTTGAAAATGAAACTAATTAAAGGACCATAACTTTGATAAAAATCATTCAACCAACACAAGCCGATGATATGCACAATACATTTAGCACTTATCATTCTTATAAAGTTTGGATGAAATTGCACCAGTAGTTTCTAAGAAGTAGTTTGGACAATTGCTGTGCAGCTGACAACACACACAAACAAGAAGCGTCGCAATGCCACAAAAACTAGGTTTTCAACGACCAAGTATTGATGTAACAGGAATAAAAAATTAAATATGGCTGTGAAGAAAAAAAAAGCATTCTGTTGTTTTCGTTGCATGCAGACAGTGACCAAAATAGAGTTAATAGAATACAAAAGATGGTTAGTACAAAGGAAACGCTGAAACACTGCAATAAACAATTGGGGAATAGTGGTTGAAGAATTAAATCAATTATTGAGCTTGATCCTGAACCTACACAGACATAAAGGGGGTCAATAATTTCAGTCCCATTTTTGCCCCATATGTAAATTACTGATCCATACATGTTTGTGTAGTGACAGGAACAAACCTAGCTAGAAATTCTTAATTATAATCAATTATATGGCTGCCAATACTATCTTGTGGTCACACTTTTGCACTTATGACTGGTTCTGAAGAGTATCTTATCCAATAGGGCATGGTAGTATGTTGTTTCAGTACAGATCTGAGGCTTTGCTTTCAAATGTCAATCCATGAATTGACACAATTTTTCACTTAAGTGGTGTAAGTGATCAATGTTGATATGACACTGTACGATTCCTGAGTTTTTGTATTGTTTTATAAACTTTAAATGTCTTTCCTTGGGGATGACAATAAACA